GGGAAAAGTAGTAATCTGGCAGACACTCTTTAAACCAAGTGATCTAAATTATCAGCACGAGTGGTTCAAAGTGACATCTTGTGCTTCCTGATACGGTGCACTGAGATGGGCACATCATTCCCATGTTATTCCTGCCAAAAACTGGTAACCTCAGTTTAATCATGAGGAAACATGAATCAAAGCCAAAATTAATTAATTTGGCATTCTTCCAAATAACGGAGTACTCATTACCAGTGTCATGGTCAAGAAAAAATAAGACTGAGGAAATGATCCAGACTGAGGAGACTAAGGAGAAATGACATCTAAGTGCAACATGGGATCCTGCACTGGATCCTGGGACAAGGGAAGAAATCGTTTGTGATCAACAGTTGAACTTTAGGTAAGATTGGTGTATTAATGAATAGTATTGTGAATCAATGTGAATTTCTTAGTTTTGATCATTGTACTGTGGTTATGCAAAATGTTAATACCTGAGGAAGCCTAATGAAGAAGGTATAGGAAAGATGTTAGGGTTCAAACCTGATGGCCAAGGAAGAATTCTTGAGACATCTCTGGTGCAAAAAGGTGGTTTTATTTAAAGCACAGGGACAGGATCCATGGACAGGAAGAGCTGCACTGGAGTCATGAGGAATGAGGGAAGCTGATGCACCCAGCTTGGGTCGGGAGCCCCCCATCAGCATCAGCATCGACCACACGGGACATCCTGCTGTCAGGAAGTCCACCTGAGGAAGGACAGGAAGGGTGCTGAGTGGAGGAGGCAACCCAGGACGAGTTCCCTTGCCCTCACCTGACTCTGAGCTCACTGAGGGTGGGGAACTGTGTAGTTGATTAATCTCTGGGTCTTCAATCTCAGCATGGGGCTGGGCACATGCCACCGCCAGAAAGGTAGCCATTTATAACTTGACTGTGAAGGGAAGTTCACAGTTCTCAGAGCACAGCCAGGGCTCAAGGGGATCCTCAGACTTGTCTCCTGGTGGGCCGAGGAGGAGGCAGGCAGTGGAGAAGCCAGCCAATCAGCAGTTTAGGGTAAATCACTTGGATCCCTCCATTTCCCACTCCCAACCTTTGTGTTAGGAAAAACTCCAAACTCTTTGCTGTGGCTTATGAGGGCCTTACTGTCTGACCTCATTTCCTCACTCTGCCCTAGCCACATTAAACTCACTGCTCCTCCAGCTCACCAAACTGGTTCCTGCCTCAGGACTTTTATACTCGCAGATCTTCTACTAAATGTCACCTCCTCAGAGGGAGCTTCCCTGACCAATCTAAGGTCTTTCTTTCTCTTTCTTTCTTTCTTCTCTTTCTTTTCTTTTTTTCTTCTTTCTTTCTTGCCTTTCTCTTTCCTTCCTTCCTTCCTTTCCTTCCTTTCTTTTCTTTCTTTCTTTCTCTCTTTCTTTTTCTTTCTTTCTTTCTCTTTCTTTCTTTCTTTCTTTTTCTTTCTCTTTCCTTCCCTTTTTCTAAGTAGGCTCCATGCTGGGGTTTGAGCTCATGACCCTGAGATCAAGACCTAAGCTGAGATCTAGGGTCAGATGCTTAACTGACTGAGCCACTCGGGCACCCCCAATATCCCCTTTTCCTCTGTGACAATATGCTGTTTTCTTTTCTTTGTAGCACTAGTCACTATTTCATATTACTTTGTTTACCTACTGTAAATCTCATTACAAAAGAATGCAAAGTTCCATGAAGCCAGGGTCTGTCTTGTTCATCCCAACATGCAGAATGGTGCCTGATGCACAGTAGAACTATGAATATATATTGCTGTGTAACACTTGTCTCCTAGACTCAAGGGCTTGTAATAGCAACCATCATTTATCTTTCATAGTTTGTGTGTTGAGGAACAGGAAGGGCTAGCTGGGCAGTTCTCTCAGGGTTTTGCCACAATGTGGTTTGTGTCGTGGCTTCCTTACAGCATGGCGCCAAGACAGATGGGATTGTTTGCATGAAGACTGAAGGTTTTCAGGTTTGCTGTTCCAGCAAAGCAGATGAAAGTTGCATCCTTCGTGCCTGTTATGACCTAGACCACATAGTGTCATTTTCACTGTACTGTATTTACCCACCACTAATGAGTCCACCCCCAATAAAGGGAAAGGAACAGGTATCACCTTTTTTGATGGAAAGAGGGTCAAAGAATTTGGGACCATATTTCCCAACTACCACCAGTAAGTGATGAATAGTTATTTAATAAATAAGTAAATATTGATGAAGTTAGTTAGAGGAGACCAGATAAAGCAAAAACAGGCCTAAGGTGCAAATGTTGGCAGCCATTGGCACTTTGGAGACAACTGTGAAACCGGTGGAAATTTAGTTAGCTCATCAGGCTGACAGGTTTAGCATCTATGTCCCTTGAAAAACCACAACTGGATTATATTTAGCAAGTGATGACGTGTTTCTGGGAGTTGCCCAAAGTGTGGGATGAATGTGGTGTATGAAATTACTTTAGGAGACATGCAGACATAGCATTAGATGACACCAAATCACATGATTTACAGTTCTCCGTTTTCAGTTCTCTTTCAGTACTTCTCATCATGTCAAGAAGAGTTTATGCTGAGTGATAATATGCCTTTAGTAACCCTCTAATACTCTGCTAATCTCTCTTTAACATCAAAGAGGCAGGCTTGGGGCTCGGTAGCTTGACTAACAACAGTATCTACCCAGAATTTAAAACCCTTGTTTTGTTTTCATGTTTATTTTTACAATTATCTCCTATTCATGGAGTTAGTGTTTTTCTATTTGGATGGTGATATACTCTATTCAATGTAAATGTAAACCAATAAAAAGGCATGTAAAGAAAAGTATTAAGTTCATTAAGAGTCATAGAGTTTAGGGCAGCCCCGGTGGCGCAGCAGTTTAGCGCCGCCTGCAGCCCAGGGCTTGATCTGGAGACCCTGGATCGAGAGTCCCACGAGTCCCACGTCGGGCTATCTGCGTGGAGCCTGCTTCTCCCTCTGCCTGTGTCTCTGCCTCTCTCTCTCGCTGCACCTCTATGAATAAATAAATAAAATCTTAAAAAAAAGAGTCATAGAGTTTAGACATATGGTAAAGGGCAAGAAGATCTATCTATACAAGAGAAAAGATATATAAAATGACAAGAGAAAACATATATAAAATCAAACAATGAATATAATGCAACAAACTAAAAATATGAAAAACTAAGCCTACACACTGCTGGTGACCAGATGAACTCAATGCTGTCAATCCTTTCCAGCAGTGACATTTTAGCTATTCCTAAAGAATTTCTAACTCAAGATCTGTGGCCTGTGCTTATATTTTGGTGGCAAAATCCAGCATAGGAGAGTCAAGGTGTCTGTTAAACAAAGTTAGTGTAATTCTTAATAGTATTAACCACCTCTCACCCCTAAAATAAATGAAAGTTTCTGAACAGTGCTTCTGAAGGTCTGTCATGCATAGGAAGCCCTTGGGAATCTTGTTAAAATGTGGATTCTGGTGAAGGTCTGGCTTAGGACCCGGGATTCTGTATTTCTAAAAGCTTCCAGGTGATGTTGATGTTGGTGATTTGGGGACCGCAGTGAAAAAAAAAAATAGCAAGCTCTAGAAACAAATATAGTGTGTTCTGAATATCTCTTCTAGCTCTGCAATTGGTGATGTTCACATTAGTAGCCTGAAATCAGCCATGGTTAAAGTAGTCACACCAAGCAAATCACCACTACAAACCAGGGTTCGTTTCATTGTTTTATTAGCTGTGCTCTAGTCTTATGAAAGTGGTAGGAAAACATAAATAAAATTTACAATGCACTAGACCACACACACATATAAATACGTATACATACACACACACACACACACACACACACTCTCCCCCAGAGAAGCAGTTGTTAAACATCTGCCACTCCCCAGAGGTCGCACAGATGTGTACAGGGCAACCATGTAGATGAGGGGTTGGCAAGCTTTTTCTGTAAAGACCCAAATGGCGAATATTTTACGTTTTGCCGGCCAGTCTCTGTTAAAAAGGAGTGGGCACTGCTGCTGCAGCTTGAAAGCAGCCACAGACAATATGTACATCAGTAAGCGCGACTGTTTTTCCATTACATTGCGGACACTGACATTGAAGTTTCCTACAATTTTCACATGTCGTGAGATCTTCTTCTTTGGATCTTTCTCCCCGCCCCCCCCCCACCACCAATTGAAGGTGTAAACCATTCTTAGCTCACAAGCCAGATGCGGCCAACAGGCCAGGCCGCTCGTCTAGATCACAATGGAAGAGGAGTGGAGCCGGGACTCACACGGCGTAGACGCGGGACCCAAGGCCCTCCGGGCCACAGAGCAGAGCCAGGAATGAGCTCGGCCAGACTCCGGGCAGGTGAGCCGGGGAGGCGCCGGCGGCCCGACACCCTCCCGCCGGCCCCGCCCGCCTCTCACACGCGGACGCTCGACGCGACGCCCCGCCCCGCGCCAGGCGCCCCCAGGCCACAGCGGCCCCTCCCCCACCGGCCCTTCCTGCCCGATCTCTGACCTCCGACCCCCACGTCCCCCACGGCCCCACGTGCCCTGAGGAAAACGCTGCCCCGCAGTACTGGGCCCTCAGAAGGGGAAACTGAGGCCTCAGCCGACCGGGCGCCCCGCCGGCCTCCCGTCAGGCCTGAGCACGTGGTCAGCACCTCCCCCCGCCCCCGCTCCCGCCCCCCCCCCCCCAGATCCAGAGGTTCACCTCGGGGAAAGCCTCGGTCGCGGCTCCCTGGGCGGCTCACGCTCCCTCCGCAGGGAACTCCCGGAAAACGAGCAGAAAGCCGGAGCGTCGAAACTCAGCCCTCCGCGCCGCCTCACCGAACGTTCGTTCCCGCGTCGCGGGCGACGCGCGCGAGGCTCACTACGCATGCGCCCTGCCCTGCCCACGCCCCCTTGGTCGGCGGGAAAAGGAGGCGGGGGGCAGTTAGTGCGCAGGCGCGTGCTCGGAGCGCGGCCGGGCCGGGACCGCCTGCCGGAGCGCGACTCCGCGCGGGTCTCAGCGCGCAGGCGCGAGCTGCCGGCCTCGCTCGGAGTCAGCTTGCGAAGTGCGCACGCGCGGGAGTTTCTGGCAGAAAGCAGGCGAGCCCGGGCCGGCGCGGGGCCTTGTGGGAGGGCTTAAGGAAGTAAAATGGCGGACCTGGCGAACGAAGGTAGGGGAGGCGCCGTCGGGGGCCAGCTGGCGGCCAGGGGACGGGCGGTGGGAGGCCCAGGGGCCACAAGCCCGAGGGGTGAGCACCGCGGAGTGGCGGGGACCGTGTGCTCCCAGATAGCGGCCCCGCGGGCCCCGCGGCCGCCCCCCATTGCGTCCCCTCAGGCCGGGCTCCCCGGCCCGGCCCATCTCTCCCGGCAGCCTCGGCCCTGCCACCGTCCGGCCAGGGGGTCTGGGAGGCCGCTGGAGCCACGGCCCTGAGGCCCTCCTGCTCCCCAGGCCGGGTCCGAGCCTGAAGGGGGCGGGAGGCGCGGCCTCGGCGCCTTGGCCTCGGATGTAAATAGACCTCCGGGCCTGGTCGTCGCCCACCGCGCCACGCTCCCTCCCTCGCCGCCTCGTTCCCGGGGCCCGGCTCGCCCCCTTCTCCGGCCTGGCGCCGAGCAAGCCCACCCCCGAATCCTGTGGGGTTCTCCTCCTACGCGGGCATGCTCCACGTCGAGGGTGGAGGACACCTGGTCTGTTCCCCAGCTCCCGCCAGTTCCCCCCGGATCCTCAGTGACGACCGGAGAGTCGCGCCTTTTCCTTGTCCCCCCGCATTTCGGCCCGGCCGCGGGGTGTGGACCGCTGAAAGCCCCGGCTGCTTTTTTTGGCCCCTTATCGCTGCACTTCCAGAGAAGGAGAAAGACAGAGACTGCGTGTGAATTCCCTCCTGACGTCCCACCCGAGCGTTTTCGACAAGGTTACAGTTCCACATCCTCTTGAGAAAGCACTCCCCAAGCTGCTGCCGTCTGCTTACATCGATGGTGGTGTTGATATCGCGGTAGCCTCGGGACTTCCGAGGCCTATTTTTAGCTCCCTCCGTTTCTAGGTGCACCTCTGTAGTTCTAGCAAGCTGCCCCCCTGCCTGGCCCTCCTCCCCCATCCCACGCGCCCTGCTGCCGGGAGGGTGTCCTAAGGTTTGCATACTGAACTGTAAGAATGCATGAGTGAAACAGTAACTGCCCACCTGGCCGAGCGTTGCGGGGCGCGGGTGGGGGGGGTGGGGGGGGTGGGGGGAGGGGTAGTACCATGTACCATTCAAAGCCTTGAATTCTGTGGTCTTGAAATACTCCTCACAAAAGATCCATGAAGTAGGTACTCTCAGCGTGTTCTCTCGGTGAGGGAACCGAGTTAGAGCAGTTGAGTTACTTGTCCGAGGCAGGTGAGTGACGCAGCTGGTAAGCAGCAGAGATGTGAAGCAGGTGGTCTGGCTTCCGAGCCCAGCCCCCCCCATACACACGCCCCCCACCCCCTCACCCCCTGCCATTTCGTCCTGTATCTCTTTTACAAGTCGGAGGAGCCAGCCCTCCTCCAGCCGAGGGTTGAGGCATTCCAGTTTGTAAGAACCAGTTAAAAGGCAGGAGAGGGAGTGGGTAAATGGGAATCAGTAGGACATACTTTATGTCTTTACACATTTGGCCCGTTCGGTTTCTTGAGCTTGTTGATCTTAAAAATAATAACGGTCAGATGGGCTTATTCTGGAGTGACAGAATCACAGTTTCAGACAAGCAGGTACCGGCAAAAACCGTGGGCAAGTCTCACGGCAGAGGAGAGGAACATTATCACAGGGAGATGGGGGAAATTGTGAGAACTCGTTTTGAATTGGAAGTCTGTTGGAGAAAAGCAACATTTCAGGGTGATGACAGTTTCTCATTGGCTAATGCAGAGGTAGTCGATTTCTTACAGAAGATTCTTACAGAATATACCTCTTTTGTCAGGGCCGGTAATTGATATTTTTGTACTGTTGATGTTTCTTCTGTTGGGGGCTGTAGCTGACAGTTCTCCCCTGAATTTCTATTCCATAGTAAGGCAGCGCCTTCTGACCTCCATTTCTAGCCCCCCGAGTCTGCTTTAGTGAGGTTTTTCCCATTATTAATTTTCACAGACTCAAGACTCAACATATCCAACATCATAGTCATCTACATTTAAATGTCTCATGGGCACATCAAACAAAATCCCTGTCTTTGTCCCCAACACCTGTCCACTCCACAATCCTCCTCCCATTTGTAGTAGTGGCAAGTCCATTCTTTGAATTGCCCAGGCCAAAAACCTTGAAGTCCTGCTTGACTCACTCTTTCTTTCTCTTTTTCTCATGCCTCAGCAAATCCTGTCAGTTCTATCGTAAAATATTTCCAGAAGGTGACCACTTCTCACTACCAGTGCCGGGTTTCCCCCTCTTGGGCCTCCCTTCCATTTGTACCCATCTAACAACTCAGCCCAGAAGCTAGAGTTGGCCCCCTTATACCTCCCTTTTCTCCCATTCCACCACTCTCTCCCTCACTTGCTCTGCTTGGGTCACTCTGGTTTCCTCAGTGTCCCTTGAATGGACTATATACTCCCTCTTTTATGCCTTTGGACCTGCAGGTTCCCCTGCTCCTGAAACAGTCTTCCTCCCAGATATCCCCTTATGGTTCACTCCTGTACCTCCTTCAAGTTTTTACTCAAATATTTTACTTTATTATGGAGAACCTCTCTGCCCACCTATTTTAAACTGGATCCACATTCCCTAATCCCCTATCCCCTTTATCCCACTTTATTTTACTAAGCGCATATCATCATCTGACACGTGAAGTTTATTTGACTACCTCTTTAGAATATAAGCTCCACGAGGGCAAGGATTTCTTTCTGTCATGATCACTGATGAATTCCCTACATCTAGAACAGTGCCTGGCACAGTAGGTATCCAAGAAATGCCTGTTGAATGAATGACTGAATTCATCAGTGAGGACCCTGATTGTGAGGCATACTGTTGAACACAACGGGAAAATTATGGATTCCAGGGATAACATTTCTAGCAAATGGACTACACATGAGCTATAGATTGCATAATTGAATGGTTAGTATAAAATAGAAGAATGGAATGCTTTGTACTTAAAGTTTTTTCCTAGTAAATGCCACACTCAGTACTTTGCCTCTGACACTAGTTCTGGCTCAGTTGTCCTCAGGACATAACTCTTAATGACTTTTGGCTTGTACAGCCTGCTGGGATGTTTAATTTATTATTCACTATGTAAACTAGGGCTTTCTTGCTTATGCATTTTGAAACTTTAGGGACTGCCCCATATGTGTGCTTTTCCTCTTGCTGTTTAAGCTCCAGTCAAATGCCTTCTTAGCTTCTGTTTTTCCACAGTGGTATTCCAAGCTGGTCCATCTTCATACCCAACCCTTCTGTCTCTCTTCTCTGGGCCATCGCCACCTCTCTCTGTGTCTGAGGCAATGACTATACACTTGAGCTGAGCATCAGAATCACTGGGGCAGCTTTCTTAAAACCACAAAGACTCAATCCCCACCTTCCAATTCTGTAAGATGTCAGGTGGGCCCTGGGCATTTGTATGGTAAGAAAGCAGCATGGGTGATTCAGATGTGCAGCCAGGGTTGAGAACCATTGGCTTGAGTAGTGCAGGTTAGGTATGCTGTGCTTGTACACAAATAAACGTTTCCAATTGTGTATCTAATACAGCATCTTGTTGGCCTTCGTTGCCATGGCGATCTCTTCAGGGATGGTGACAGCAACTCCCACAGCCCTTTCTTGGTACTTCTATAGTCTGTGACTTTCAAAGTCCAGTTGGAATGCTTCTCTCCTAGGAGAGAGACGTGTGTGTGTGTGTGTGTGTGGTGTGTGTGTTTCACACTTGTGTCCAGGGATATTCTCTTCTTCTCCTTGGCATTTTGCTATTCATATATCTCAAACTCATTAATCATCCTATCCCTGAAGTTACTCTGCATTGTAGATGGATGTCAGGATTTGAATGCAGAGTTTTGTAGTTTTGTGTCTGGTAAAAATAAAGAATGGGTAGGGGGTGAGTAAAGTCTGTTTGAGCTGTAAGATATCTTGGATTCCAGATCCCAGTGTTTAAAGATGCCATATGCATATGAATCCTTTGTGGCCTGTGGACATGGTATAAATCAGCATTCTCGACTTTGGCCCTACCTACATTTTTGAGCCAGATGATTCTGTATGAGTGAGGGGAGGGCTGTCCTATACATTGTAGGATGTTTAGTGGCGTAGCACTGTCACTGACTCTACCACTGTATGCTAGTAGCACACACTCTCCCCTGCACCCCTACCCCAGGGGTCATGACAACCAAAAATGTCCTCAGGCATTGCAGTATGTCCCAGGGCAGGGAGTGGAGAACCACGCCCCAGGGTAAGACCCACTGGTATAAAGTAATGGCAGGGCACAGGCTTTGCCTTGCAGAGAACTGGGTTTGTGTTTTGACTCTTCCACATACTCTGAGTGACTTAACTCCTTTGAGCCTCGGTTTCCTCACCAGTAAAATGGAAATCATGTGTATTTCATGGCTGCTGTGAGCATTGGATGAATTAATGTATCTGAATTATTTAATACTCATCTGCACACATAGTAATAAACAGCCAGTATAGAGTAGCTGTTTTTTACTATAGTGGACTCATAAGGTGGACTGGTTTTGCATAAGTGCTCAGCAGAGAGAGAGCAAGAAATGAGTGTGAATAGTATGGGTGAAGCCAGCCCACTGTTGAGATCGCCCTGAGATGAGCCATGATGGGAGGCCAGCCAGAGCTGGGCTGTCAGCCCTCCTGGGTTCTGTCTTGCCTTCCACATGATCACCTAGCTCAGGCTTCTCAGCCTTGACACTATAGACATTTGTGGCCAGGTAATTCTTCGGCATGTGTGCCACCCCGGGCCTTGTAGGATGTTGATCAGTTTCTCTGATCTCTTCCCACTAGATGCCAATAGCACCCTCCTCCCTCCCGCAGATGTGACGACCAAGAACGTCTGCAGACATTGCCCAGTGTCCTGGGGTAGAGGGGTACAAAGTTGCCCACATTTGAAAACCTCTGGTTTAGCCTAACCAAATGCTACTCTAGAGATTTTCAAGGATGGTTTGGCTTTTCACCTCACTTTTCTCCTTACTTAACACCTGAGAGAATGAGATACAAGTGAATTTTTATTGTTGATCTAGAAACTAAAACAGTTGGAA